GCACAGGCCCAGCCCAACAACTCAGCCCCGTTTTTCTCCCTCCCCCCAGATAACTCCTGCTGTCTGCCCAAGGAAGGAATAATAGAATAATCTGGAGACTCCCCTACCCTTTTCTAGATCCTCCTGGGGTCTCTGCCTCTGGTCTCTTAGCAGATTTCCAAGATGAGCCAGCTCTGCAGCCCTGTCCAGAGCCACTTAAGGCCATGCCCCAGGCCTCAGGCCCCGGCCCCGTGCTGGTGCCCTCTGTGTGGGAGCCGAACCAGGAAGGCTGCACATGCAGGGCTGCTTCTGGCACGGCCGAGCTTGACACTGTTAAAGCCCTCCTAATCCATGTTATTTTCTTCTAATCTCTCCCCCCCCCTCTCTGGCCTGTGTGCTACCCTCAGGACCTTTGGACTCAAGCCGGAGTCTGTGCTGAGGAGCCCCAGGCATGAGGAAGCCAAGCACCTGCTGCAGCGTGCCCGCATGAAGGCCCGGACCCGGCCTCTTCGTGCCAGCCATGATATCGTGCCCACCATTGCCCAGGGCAGCCGGTGAGTGGAGCCCTGGCCAGGCTGATGGGACCTAGCCCAAGTGCCTCTGTTCACACCGCCCCGCAGGAAGGCCGGGCCCCGGCCTCTTCGTGCCAGCCATGATATCGTGCCCACCATTGCCCAGGGCAGCCGGTGAGTGGAGCCCTGGCCAGGCTGATGGGACCTAGCCCAAGTGCCTCTGTTCACACCTCCCTTCTGTCTTGTGCACGTGTGTTTCCCACACCAGGCACTTGCTTTAATTCATTTAGCTGGTCAGCACACCTTTACTGAGGGTCTACTGAATGTCAAGCATTGAGGATTTGAAGATGAATTAAACACCTCTAGAGGGACTGACGTCACCATCTCCAGGAAGAAAGACAAGTAAACAATCAATACAGTTCTGTGGACTGTGGTGTAGGAGAGGAAAGACGTGTGCAGGGCAGGAAACCTGAAGCTGTATCTAGAAAGGATGGGAGAGGCTCTAGAGCAGCGGTCCCCAACCTTTTTGACACCAGGGACCAATGATCCTGTGAGAATCTAATGCTTGATGCTCTGAGGTGGAGCTGAGGCTGTGATGCTAGCGATGGGGAGCGGCTGCAAATATAGATGAAGCTTTGCTCACTCACCTGTCACTCACTTCCTGCTGTGTGGCCTGTACAGCTTGGTTCCTAACAGACCACAGACTGGTACCAGTCCACGGCCTGAGAGTTGGAAACCCCTGCTCTAAATGATCATTTATTCAGGAGAAGTACAGAGGTATATTCAGAGCCTAGATAGGCCAGGAACTATGAGACTGTTTCCAG